CAGCCGGAGGGGGTACATCAGCAGCCGCATCTTTCTGGTCCTAGTCGGCCGCTGTTCTTTTTCATCAACCTCCCCCTCCTTCTCCTCTTCCTGGTCCGACTCCCCTGAAGTAGAATCATGAAGTAGAATCAGACACCTCCTCCTCCTCCTCTTCCTCGCCCTCTTGGGCTTGGTTCAGGATTTGATCATTGTATTCCTTGGTGGAGGCGGCAAACTGATTCTCCCAGTTCTCATAGCTGGTCTCTGGGAAGAGAACCCCCCATGTCCCTTTCATGATGGCGCTGCAGTCGTCCATTATGTCCTTGACTAGGGTCTTCTTCTCTTCATTAGCCCTTGAGAGGTATTTCTTGGCAAGCTGGGTCTCCTGGTTCCGCAAGCGGAATTTAAGCTTGTCCACCCTATTGCGGAGGCCGACTGCTTCTTTGTCCGCCTCCTTAAGAGGCCCGAGCTCAGCCTTGAGGTCCTTAATGGACGACTCCAGCTCCGAGATCCTCTTCTTGGCTGCCTCTAATCCGTTTTGACCTGCAAGTTGGCAACCGCCTCATAGTACAGTATGTCATTAGTCAGAAGTTCATTTTGGGCAATTTGGAACATAGCTTTGTCAGAAACAGAGGCGGCCCGAGCCTTCACATCCTTTACCTCTTTGGTCTTCTCGCTTATGGGCCTGCGAAGAACGTGTACTCGCAGCATAGGCTGCACCCGGCCAAAAACAGACGTCAGTTATAGGCTGCTCACAAGTTATATAAACGAGAAACGAAATTTTTTTACAAGTATACCTCAGCGAGAAGAGCGAGGATGGCATCCAGGTTGAGGGTGCCGACTCCTCTGACCACCACCCTGTCCTCAAGGGAGACGGCTTTCAGCATGGACTTGGCCAAGTGGACAAGGTCCGGCCTTTGAGAGACATCTGCACAATCAATTCCCTGTAAGTACTTGGTGTAAATTCGGCCAATAGACCGACTGCTTTCAGAAGTGCTGGACGACTGCTGATTGAATTTGACCCTCAAAGGGTAAGGGAAAGAAAGCAAGTCTTTGATACCTTCAGCAGCCGCCTGCTTCTCCTTCTCCTTCTCAGTCCGACTGCCACAAGGACGACTAGAGATTTAGGAGGTTAGTTGCTCCCTGGCCTTGAGGCCACATGCACTACAAGAAAACAGCTGGATTCCGACGGAATTTTTCCGTCGGAAACATAGCAAAATTCGTCGGAATCACCTCTTCCGATGAAATTCCGTCGGAATAGGTCTGTCGCAGCACCCTTTGTCGGAAATTTGACCTTTTCTAGCGGAAATTCCGTCGGTAGAGGTGATTCCGACGGATCTAATTATGTCCGCGCTATTTTTTACTTTAATTGAAATTCCGTCGCAATTTTCTGACGGAAATTTCCGTCGGAGGTGGATTGGTTTCCGACGGAATATTCCGTCGGAAGAGGTATATTCCGACGGATTTTTCCGTCGGAAGAGGAATCCTCCGACAGAAAATTCCGTCGGAAAAGTCATTAAAAAAATATAAAAAAAACCAGCCCCCCACCCCACCCTGCCCAGACCACCCCCACCCATTCCCACACCCAGCGCCACCCCCCTTCCCACCCACACCACCACCAACCCACCCCACCCCCTGCCCCCTTACCCCCCTGACTCTCCACACCGCCACTACCCCCCTACCCCCCTGACTCTCCACACCACCACTGCCCCCTTACCCCCCTGACTCTCCACACCACCACTGCCCCCCCACCCCCCTGCCCCTAAACCGTACCACCAACCCACACCACCCACCTTAACCCACCAGTCCTCCTAACCCGTACCACCAACCCACACCACCCCACAACCACCACCCAAACCCGAAACTACCCCAAAAAACCCGCTACCACCCAAAAAAACCCGAAACCACCCAGATCTACCACTCAAACCCACGCTATCAAACCCACGAAACCACCAAAAAAACCCACCACCTCCAAAAATCGCCACCCGCCACCAACCCACACATCACACACGCACACACAACCACTTTACACCCAAAAATTTAAAAAAAAACAAAGAAAAAAAATTGAAAATCGAAAAATTAAATAATAAAACATAACTTATTAATTGAAATGGGCTCGAATTTCACCACGAAAATAGTTTAACAAGGCCAAATTCGGCCATGAAAAGTCTAGATCTAGGCTTTTAATGGTCGAATTTGGCCTAAAAAACCACCAAGACGTTGCGCATAGTGGTGGTACGGTGGTGTTGGTTGCGGCGAGAAGGAGGGGAAAGAAATCACCTAGATGTTGTTCGACGTTGTGTGAGAAGGAGGGGAAAGAAGTCAGAGAAGAAGGAGGCGAGAAAGAGGAAAGAAGGAGAGGAGAGAGAAAGAGAAGAGATTCAGAGAAAAACTTAGGGGAAGGAGAAGAGAAGAAGAGAGAGAAAGAGAGGGGAAAGAGGCGGAGAAAGAGGGGTAATAATAAGGGGGGAAACTGGGTTAGTCTTAGGGTTTTTTTTTTATAAATAATTACTTTTATTCCGACAGAATATTCCGACGGGTTTTAATTCCGTCGAAAATATTATTATTCCGACAGAATATTCCGTCGGAAATTTCCGGTGGATTTTAATTCCGCCGGAAACGTAATTTTCCGAGGGAATATTCCGTCGAAAACTTCTGACGGATTGTAATTTCGCCGGAAAAGTAATTATTCCGTCGGAAATCCTTATATTCCAACGGATTTTAAATCCGTCGGAAATTCCGTCGGAAATTTCCGGCGGAATAAAATCCATCGGAACTTTTGACGTTTCCGACGGAATTTAGTGTCCGTCGGAAATAGTCCGTTGGAAATCAGCCTATTTCTTGTAGTGATGTTTCCTAGCTCTCCCAGGGGTTGTTATGTCACCAGCCGTCTGTTTCCTAATTTTAGGATCCGGCTGGGAGGAGGAGGAAGGCTTTGCTAAGTTGCCCTGCAAAATAACCACAATAAGCAAAAGAAAGCAGGCGGTAGAAAAGCTAAATGAGATTTGATCAAGTTGAAAGTTCACCTTGGGCGCCTGCACAGCAGGCGACTCTTCAGTTGATCGCTTGCTCAAGATGGCCGAGCGGAATTGGACAGCAGGTTTCTTTGAGGCCAAGAGTTTTTCCATAGCTTTGTTTGCAAAAGATAAATTAGGGAGTTAGTTTGACGCAAAAATAATCAAGTTTACAAGACACTTGAACAGACGGTCAGCTACCTCTCAGCATTTCTTCACTAAGGCCACAGGCGGCCAGATATGTCCCATCATATAACCAGTTATACTTGGGAATATAATTTTGGGGAATGAACTTCCTCGCCCTAGTCTTGTGGTTCGCCTTGTTTAAGTTAGATATGTCCCATCATATAACCAGTTATACTTGGGAATATAATTTAGGCCAGAAGGTTTCTTTGTTGAGCCAATCTCCAATCCAGATCACGCAACCGTGCAAGAAAATTGGGTTTCAACATCTCAAGTCCCTGCATATAATGCACTTGCTGCTGCTCATTGTGTATTGCCATGGCCTTTTGTATGAAAGGAATTAGCCAATCCAATCTAAAGCGTAAACCCTGAAGATAATACATGGTTGAATTTAAGTATGCAGCTTGGAAACCGTCTAAGGACATTCCTAAATCGCTTTGAAGAAGAATGATCATATTGGCTAGTGACTTCAAAGCCCATGTTAGCTGCCCATTAGTTTGCACTACATGTCCTTGCATTATGTTCCCATGTTTATCCCATATTTTCTTCAACACCGGGACCAAATGAGAGCTCACATTAATTCCTTGAAATTTTGCCTGTGAAACACCTTTTTGAACAATCTGAAAAGCATATAAAAAAACTTTGAAAATGCATTAACTAGGGGTGAGCAAAGAACCAGGGCACCGGTATCGGATCCGGAACCGGTTAGGACCCGCTGGGTCCGGACCCAGAATTGGTCTCACCGGTTCCGGGACCGGGTCCAAAATTTCGGACCCGGTTGTAACCGGTTCCGGTTCCAAATCCTAAAATTTTGGACCCGGTACCCACTGGGTACCCGGTTGTATATGATATAGTATGTGGATTGTTTGTGTTTTTAAGAAACTAAAGAGTTATCTACAGCCCATTTTAATTTCTAAGTCCAATTGCTTATAAAACTCTAAACCCATTATCAAATAAAACCCTAAAACTTCTAGATTTTTCTCTCCGCTCTATTATACCGGTTACCCAACATATATTGTACAAAATATATTAAAAAAAAAACAAAAATATACTGAACGTAACTAATTAGTAAAATAAATAAAAAAATATTAATATTTAATATAATTAAAATAGCTTAATGTATATAAAAATATAAGTATTAAGTGCTAAAAGTAAAAATAAACCAAAAAAAATATTATGATTTGTATTATATTTCAACACTTATATATATAAGTGGGTACCCGGAATCGGAACCGGTACCCGGTGGAACCAATTCCAATTCCTAAATTTTAGGACCCGGTTTTACCGGTTCCAATTCCGGTTCCAAATTTTAGGACCCGGTCCCAACCAATTCCGGGTCTAGATCCTAAAATTTTGACCGGGTACCCGATTTGCTCACCCCTAGCATTAACAGTCTAAAAGTAAAACCAATTTTCTTTTCTTTTTCGGCTTAATAGAGAACCAACTTATCTACCTTAGTAAAAGTGGTGCCAACAGGAGCAACTTGTATTAAGGTGGGCAACGTTACTACTTGCACTAAGGGTTGTTGATTAATTTCATCCTCATAATTGATACAGTTAAATACACTAATGTATATAATTCTTTCTTGGAGAAATATTTAAGGAAAAACATGTTCATGTGGGATTTTTTTAAATTTGTTTCAACAAATATTATCATAATACTTCCTCCGTTTATTTTTAGTTGCTACACTTTCCTATTTTGGAAATTGTTAATTAGTTGCAACACTTTTCATTTTTTACATTTCTTTCTCTCTATGTCTCTCCTACCCACATGAATATGTTTTTCCTTAAATATTATTCACAAAAGACCGTCAAAGGAGGAGTGGAGAATAGTGTAAAAGTCAAAACGGAAGAATTATATACATTAGTGTATTTAACTGTATCAATTATTCAATAACGGAGAAAGTACAAATAATCATAAATTTTTTTTTACCATACTCCACAACAGTTACTTTTTTTTTTTAACCGTTGCACAATATTTTTGTCATTTACTCCACACCCTCATTCTCCAACCGTTTCTCTTCACTCCACCTCAACAACCCCCTCACTAGTCACTACACAGCTACACTCACTCGGTCACTCCTTATTCTCACTCTCTGACACTCCCACACTTGTTCACTTCTTCTCACTCAGCTTCTCACCACCATTAATGGCGAACAACCCTCCCTTCCATCATCTCTTCCACTCCACCCTCCTTCTCCTCCTCTTCACCACCCTCCACAACCACACCACCGCCTTCAACCACCCCGACACACAACCCTTACTCTCCTTCAAATCCTCCGCCGACCTCTCCAACTCCCTCTCCTGGAACACCACGGCCACCCCGTGCTCATGGCACGGCGTCTCTTGCCTCCAAAACCGCGTCTCTAAGCTCGTCCTCGAAGACCTCAACCTCAATGGCACCTTCCCAACCTCCTTACTCTCACTCTCACATCTTCGTGTCCTTTCCCTCAAGCACAACCACTTCTCCGGCTCACTCCCACCGGATTTCTCCCCTCTCTCCAACCTCAAACTCTTATTTCTGTCCTACAACTACTTTTCCGGCGACTTCCCTGTTTCCGTCACCTCGATCTTCCGCCTCTACCGCCTTGATCTTTCCCATAACACCTTCTCCGGTGTAATCCCGCAAAATGTCAATCGTTTGACTCATCTTTTGACCCTTCGGTTAGAGGAGAATGCGTTTTCCGGCGGAATTATCGGGTTGAATCTCCCCTACATTCAGGATTTCAACGTTTCTGGAAACAAATTAGGTGGTCAAATACCCAAATCTCTCTCTACTTTCCCAGATTCTGCGTTTTCCGGCAACAAAGCTCTTTGCGGACTGCCATTGTTAAGATGCAAGGAGGTTTCCAACGACCCAACAAAACCCGGAAACGACGCCGTTCCACCACCGGTGGGACCCACCACCGCCGTCGTCTCATCCTCTCCGGTATCCTCCATGCCGTCGAGAGATTACCCGGTGAAAAATCCGGGTCATAATCACGGGAGATTGAGTTTATGGGCTATTATTGCGATAATTGTCGGAGATATTTTGGTATTAGCAGCAATAAGTTTACTCCTGTACTGTTACTTCTGGAGGAGTAATAAGAACAAGAATTCAGGGGTAGTTTCGGGAGGGGAGAAAATTGTGTACTCGGCGAGTCCATACCCGAGTGGACTTGCCGGGTTGGACCGACCGGGTCGAATGGTGTTCTTCGAAGGAGGAAAGAGTTTTGAGTTGGAAGACTTGTTACGAGCATCGGCGGAGATGTTGGGGAAAGGGGTGTTTGGGACGGCGTATAAGGCGGTGTTGGACGACGGCAGTGTGGTGGCGGTAAAGAGGTTGAAAGAGGCTCAAGTTGGTGGGAAGAAGGAGTTTGAGCAACAAATGGAGGTTTTAGGGAGGTTGAGGCATCCAAATTTGGTTAGTTTGAAGGCTTATTATTTTGCTAGGGATGAGAAGTTGTTGGTGTTTGATTACTTGCCTAATGGCAGCTTGTTCTGGCTTCTTCATGGTAATTATTTTCTCTCTTTTCTCCTTATTTTGATTATTTTTTTGTTTTAATTAACAGCATTCTAGTTGTTTGAAGTAATTTTTGTTGATTTGTGTCACATACTTGAATTACATAAATTAGATACTTGTATGTTTAGGAATCGACTCGAATGACTTGTCCTAGAACTAAGTTGTACCCGAAATTAGATGACTCGAATTTGATCCGACTTTTGTATGTGGTCTTAGACGATTATTGAAACATGGGGCTAAAGTCATGAGATAAATCGGTTAATATGTTTCTTTGCCTGAAACTAAGTTGTATTCGAAATTAGTAGATTTTGGCCCGACTTTCATAGGTAGCCAATTGTTAAAACGCAGGTCGCGGGGTTAACAAAAGTTGGTCAATAGGTTACTTTGCTCCCATTTGTTTTGTTTGTTTGTTTGTTATTGGAGAGTTTTAGTTAGTTGAATTATTAAATGTAGTAGCAATAGGTTCTAACGTATACTTCACTAGTGAGATTAATGATAAGCTAGAGAATAGCATAAAGAATGAGGTAGTACATATAAAATGGGATATGTGTGCTGTACTAATCAGGCAAATCTAGAAATTAATTTTGGCAATATTAGAAGATGAAGGTATTAGAGTGTAAGATGAAATATTGCACCCTTAAATGGAAGCAAGTAGGTGGTAATTGTACAAGATAATTTATTAGCATAACCGCTAATAATTAATATTGAGTTAATTAAGAGATTATGAGGGGCCATTTATTGGCCAGCTTGGAAGTAGCGTCATGGCAGAATATGCATGTGATGTGTGTTAATGTTCAACTTTATTCTAAAATTCTATACCAAGTTAAAGGCCTTGTATTTTTGGTTTAAAGTATGAATGTATAATATACTTTTTGTAATGTAGCTAATAATATAAGATATTCAGCAGGGTCAAGTTTATTGTACTCTATAGGAAAAAAAACAATTTGGAGGTCAATTCCATTGGTGTGTATGTATAATTTTATTGGATTCCTAGACACATAAGGTCCAAAGTAGACACATGTATGTTTTATTGTTTATACTGATATTGAATTCCTTCTCAATTTTTTAATATTCTTATTAAATCATAAACATGATACAGGGGTGGTTTGGTCTAATAATTTTTTTGCCACTGTTTGACTTTAGTTGTATTTATACATTGAGTACTAATTTTGATCATAATATTTATGTCATAATAAGAACAAGTATAATTATGTGAAATAGCCTAGTTGTATTTTTTTTTTTTTTTAAAAATATCAAATCCTTATAAGTTTTACTTATCATTAATTAATTGTCAAAGTTCTGTATTAGACACATGTAGAGTCAAATTGTTACAAATAAAAAACTTATAGTTCAATATCAAGGACATCCTGGTACTTTTTGTTTGAGCTTTTGAAGATGTTCTGGGATACCTTGACATAAAGGAGCATGTTTTGGATAGTTAAGGGTGTTATTTGATGAACTCCTACGCACTTGTACCCTTTTCAAATTTGACGTACATTGGCAAACAAATAATTTTGTTTGGATCACTATTGGGCGATTAGTGATATAATTCGACTTTGATTAGCTTCGGGTTTATTAAAGTCAATTCATGCGGGTGAATGTGTTTTATATTGGATATTCATATGAGTCGGTTTTATCAGGTTTATCTAGCTAATAAAATAATCATTATTGAGTACCTTATATGGGGAGATGGGGATTAAAGAAAGGAGTGTATGTGGGCCAAGAAAGAAAAACAATTCTGTTATTGTACTGTTGTAGTAGTTCTCCTTTTAACGTGAGAAACTGTTTTTTTTGTACAAAGTGAAAATGAATTCTACCCCTCACATAAACATCATTGCTCCATTTTGGGGAAAGGGGAAGATACTAAGATAATGATGTGGGAGCGTTTATGTGATATTCACACGACCGTGTTCACATCAAAACCTTTTAAACCCTCAAAATCAGAATTATATGAGAGCGTTTATCTTCATTTCTTCATAAAGTGCCTAATTATTTTGCCTTTTTGTTCTTTTCATGGCTTAATTCTATGTTATATTATACTCAAAAGAACCTCACCCCAGAAAATCTGCTAATATCTCTAAAACTAATTATGTGCTCCACTTACAACTCACAAGTTCACAGTTCAAGCACACCCGGCCAATAACTCTACCAAATTCCTATTGTGGGCCCCTCTCTTGATGGTGGTTTTCACAGTTCAAGGCCACTTTGTTTTCTTACATTCTTCATATTCTTTGGGGGAGAATTAGATAAATGCTATGTCACTCGGATTCGGATTTTGACTTCAAATACGGTTACTTGTCTAACTATCCAACTCGGTTATTTTGTGATAAAGTCTCATGATTTTGGTCTAAAATAGAGTGTCCAAGTATTTTACCCATGTTCGATGTCAAGGATTCGATATGGGTATTTGAAAGAATATCTTTTTTAAAAAATAGAATTATAATATCATTGACCGCATGCAAGTATGCAACAGTTAGAAATCTCTTACATAATGAAGGCCTGAAGGGCATTGGTATATCAATATATTTTGGAGTATAAGGCAACATAAAATTTGCTAGCAAAAAGGGGGCAATTTTCACTATTACCCTTACTTTATCTGCTTTGTTTTGAAAAAGTAAAGGGTAGTCAGTGTAATTTCGCCTCCTTTTTGCTAGCAAAAATTTGCTGTTTAGAGTCTACACTATTTTATATTTCGTGATAAGATCGGAGCAAATTATTCTTAAACTATTCGCAAATAATTAAACGGGCACTCCAATTTGATTTTAGTGTTTGTTCCCATTCCATAATTTGATGTCTTTTCCAGCTCGAGGCATATGATCTTGATCTGCTAAACTGTTTGTCTTTGTATCATGTGACCATCTACATATATGCCTGTGTGAAATTTTGATCTATAAAATGACTAGTTTCTAGTATTATTTATATTGGATTTGATAGTCTTGAAGTTTGGAGGCATGGAAATTTGAATCACTTGTTTAATGATTAATTTAAACATATGATTACTCTCAATAACTCAACAACATGCATTTGTTAAGTAAAAGTTCTTGATCGAGTAGTTATAAACTTATAATTAAAATACTTGTTACTATTACTGTTAGGTTTTTTCATCAGGAAGTAAAAACCACATTTTTTTTTTTGTGGCAGGAAACAGAGGACCTGGACGAACTCCATTAGACTGGACAACAAGATTAAAGATAGCTGCAGGAGCAGCGAGAGGAGTTGCATTCATACATAACTCTTGCAAAGCCCTCAAGCTCATTCATGGTGATATCAAATCGACTAATATCTTGATTGATAAAACTGGCGATGCTTGTGTGTCTGACTTTGGTCTCTCAAGCTTTGCCCCAAATTCAACCACCAATGCAAGATCAAATGGCTACCGTGCTCCTGAATCACTTGATGGTCGCAGGCTCAACCAAAAAGCTGACGTCTACTCTTTTGGAGTTTTGCTGCTTGAGCTTCTAACAGGTATTTGGAAAAATAATGACAAATATATCTATATACAAGTAGTTTATGTGAAGCTATGGATTATGTCTGCTTGCCATAAAAAATGACAAATATGACATAAATTACAAAAGATAACATGAAAGAAAGTAACGATGCTCATGAAGTCATGATTCATTTGCAAACATCATATACATATGGCTGCAAATCTGCAATTACATACCTATTGCTGCACTCTCTAAAATGCTGTTACTCTGACTGTTTAATCGGCCTTCCTATACCCGTGGTAGGCATGTATCCTACAGGTTGCTGCATGTCATTTAGATGAGCCAAGTACCAAGAAGTAGCTCTTGAGATATAGTGTTAACCTTAGACAGCATTATGTTACACTAATCACATTTTATTTTTTTTGGCTTACAGGAAAGTATCCATCAATAGTTGAGGGAAGTGGACCTTATGGCACAGTAGGAGTTGGTGGGGTAGTAGATCTCCCGAGATGGGTGCAGTCAGTAGTAAGGGAAGAATGGACTGCTGAGGTTTTTGATCTGGAGTTGATGAGGTATAAGGACATTGAGGAGGAAATGGTGGGCTTATTGCAGATTGCCATGGCCTGTACTGCCGCATCCCCCGACCACCGGCCTAGAATGGGGCAAGTGGTCAAAATGATCGAGGAGATACGTGGTGTTGAAGTATCACCATCACACGATAACTTTGACTCTGACTCGCCTTCTATCTCTGAGGATACAGGGTGTGTTAGCCAGTGATGATGCGAAGCAATTTGCACGTTGTGAATCTACTAAGCCACTATAACTCTTGACTCTTGAGTGATGTAAATTAGGTTTAACCATTTATATCTTATATGCCTGTTTCACCTCCATTTTATTCTAGGCTTTCTAGCTTACTATAGAAGTAATATTATTGGTATTGTAGATGTTTTGCTTGGAGCAAAAAAAGTGGACATTTTCTCCTAGAATCTAGTATTAACATATTGTCACCGGCATCTACATCAATGTACAAAAATCAAATGAGACAAACATAAAAATATGGACGCAGTATTTATTTACTTATAACTAAAAAACAAATACTCCTAACATATTTCTGAAATGAATATAAATAACAAACTGTCAACTAGTAAGATTTTGTTTTGTTTTTTTTTTTTTTTTTTTTTTTTTTTTTTGAAAATTTTGTGAGCAAGAGGTCTAGCAACAATATATGTCTAAAAGCCCATAATTATGGGTGCCAACTTTTGTAGCCTATTTAACGTTTTAGGCAAGAATTTTCTTGCGAACAAGAAGCAAATGTTGGTTTTCTTCCCATTATAATGACAAGTCTTCCAATTCCTTAACTTCTTCAAAAAACTCAGCTGTAATATGAATTCTGTCATACTTGGCAGGGTGACATCCACCCTTGGACCAATTAACCCAAGTTATGCTTCGATTCGAGTTTCTTTGTCCAGCATTCATGTTCATCCAAGTAGGCAAGTAATGCTCGTCAGCATAGCATGCAGACTTAAGGCATGCTCCCTTGAATGACAAGAAGTAACGTTGATCGGACATGACCTTGATGGCTAACTCGCGGTCCATCTCAAACCACTGAGACCCTTTTCGCCAGTCATGGAGCGTGATGTTTGGACCAAGACGGTGCTTGTACCGGCCCCTTGCTGCTGGACCACTTTTGTCATAGGCTTGGACGTAACTTTGAGTGGAATTTATAAGGTAAGAATAGATAGTTGAAAAGTTGAAGAGAGGGATGCAAGTTTCTGAGAGAAGAACAAATCTTTGGTTTGAAACATCTTGTAGAGCATTTGCTAGTAAGCGTAATTCTGCCTCAATCATGGTGAACTTTCCCCATTCTACTTTCTGCGTAAAATGTAGTTGAGTTTAGGACAAATCATAATAATTAATAACAATATAATAACTTATTAATACAAATTTTTTATTTATAACATAAAATAACTTATTAATACAGTAATACCAATTGGGGGCTTATTATAGCAAGTCCTTATCTCAGCTTCTTGATAAACAAAATATATACAAAATACATTTGAGGCGTACAGTTGGTTTGCTACTTTGCTTACATTGCAAAAACTTCTTTTTAACTACAAGTATAAATTAAAAGAAAAAAAAAAGTATAAACATAAAGAAATTTTGTAATTTACAGTTTAGTTTGCAACAAAATAACAATGGTGCTTCTTCTCATAATTTCAAATTATTATTATTATTATTATTTTTTTAACCTGTCATTTATAAGGTATTAAACAAATAAAAATTAAAAGACCATTTTAATAACAAAACAAAAAATCCATGTATAATATATTCATCTGAATTTAAAACTAAAATTACTAGGAAAAATTTATGGGAATAATCTCATCTTTGGGCCGTTTGTTTTTTAATAATCCCACATTTGGATTATTTTTTAATAATCCCACCTTTACCCCCATTCTTTTTTAATGGTCCCAACCGGTAACTTGTTATAACAAGTTACATGACACATGTTGCAATCTAATTGGCCTAAAATATAAAAAAAAATTAAAAGAAAAACTTAAAAAATTATATTTAATTAATTAAGAAACTACTTGTTTCATAAAATAAAAAAATAATAAAAACCCCACCTGCCCAACCACCCTCCACGGCTGCCCACTACCACCAGCCCTCCCTGCTGCCTGCCCACCGACGATGGAGGGCTACGCCGACTGTCCTCCCCCTTCCCATTGAACCACCAACAGCCTTTCCCACCCCTTGAACCACCAACCACCCTCTAAAAAACGTTCGCCGCGCCCCGATCTCGACCTCCCTCCCCTTCCGCCGCCCCGTTTTCGACTCCCTCCCCTTCCCCTACCCCTTTTTCGGCCCCCTCCCCTTCCCCTTGCCCCAATTTCGGCCCCTTTGCCCTTCCCAGGCCTCGATTTCGGCCCCCTCCCCTTCCCCTTGCCCCAATTTCGGCCCCTTTGCCCTTCCCAGGCCTCGATTTCGGCCCCCCTCTCCTTCCCATGCCTTAATTTCGGAAATGAATTTGGTGGTTTAAGGCGACGGAAGGTGCCGGAATAAAGGTGTGACCGAAGCGGGGCTAACAGTCGATCTGGGACGACGGTCAGGGCGCGGCGATGCTAGGGGTTGGGACGACGATGGGGCGGGGAGGTGGCTGGTAGTGGTTTTAATTTTTAGTTTTTTTTTGGTTTAATTAGAAAATAACACCTGCTAAAGACCCCGATTTTGTTTTTAACACCTGTTAAAAAAAAGTTTAATTATAACACCTCCAAAAATCCCAAAATTTTGGTTTCACCACCCACTAACAGATTTTTGGATGGAAACCGTTAGTGGGGCCACCATGTATACGTGTCAGTTGTTAATTAGTTTTAAAAAAAATTTTTAAAAAAAAAAAACCTAACCCCCTAATCGAGCCAGCCACCGCACCGGCACCACCTGCGGCCAGTCGCCTCTTCCCTTCCCCTTCCCTATTTCCTACCCTGATTCCCAATTTCCGGCGCCAATCACCAATTTCCGACACCTCCCTTGCTTCCCCCACCCCAACCTAGCCCAGAAACCTTAGTCATCGGGAGCTTGGGACCGTTTTCGAAGGTGGGAAGGGAAGAGGTCGGTTTCTGGGTTGAGGGAAAGGAAGGGGAGCCGGTTTCAGTGGTGTGGGAAGGGAGGGGGCGCCGGTTTCGGCGGTGCGGGAAGGGAGGAGGTCCATTTAAGGGGGTTGCGTTGGGGAGGGGAACCGTACTTTGGCAGCTTTGTGAAGGATGATAGCGGTTTTCGAGGTGGGTTAAGGGTGGGGGAGCCGATTTCCGGTGTTAGAGGTGGTTCGGCGGCGAAAATCGATGGCTGGTGGTCGGTGGTTGGTGGTTGGTTGGTTATGGGGTAGGCAGGGGAGAAGGCCACCGTTTGTGGCTGGCCGCAGGTGGTGCCGGTGCGGTGGCTGGCTGAGTTAGGGGGTTAGGTTTTTTTTTTTTTTTTTTAAATTTTTTTTAAACTAATTAACAACTGACACGTGTACATGGTGGCCCCACTAACGGTTTCCATCCAAAAATCTGTTAGTGGGTGGTGAAACCAAAATTTTGGGATTTTTGGAGGTGTTATAATTAAACTTTTTTTTTTAACAGGTGTTAAAAACAAAATCGGGGTCTTTAGCAGGTGTTATTTTCTAATTTGGCTTTTTTTTTCATGAGAAAAATATTATAAATAATTAATTAATGTTAATTGCTAATTATCATTTCTTAAAACAAAATTAAAATTAAAACTTATTTTTTTGACCAATTACGTGGTGACACGTGTAAAATAAACTTAAATTTTTTTTAACCTCTTCAACCGGTTACTGGTCACCCGGGACCATCAGAAAAGAATGAGGGTAAAGGTGGGATTATTAAAAAATAATCCAAAGGTGGGATTATTAAAAACGAATGCCCTAAAGGTGGGATTATTCCCATAAATTTTTCCAAATTACTAATCTAGAAAAATGCAAGAGAATCTAATTCTAAAGAAACAACTCCTAATCTTTCCTATGGCGTCTCAATTTGGCAATCCATAGTCCATACAATTGGTGTTTACGAATTTTCATAGAAAAAAGCTACTCGTATATATACTGTATATGTGCAGTCTCCAAATTAGAAAATTAAAATATATAATCAATGCATAAATGAAGGATTGAACTTTGTGGACAATAAAAATAAAAAAGGATGGGTAGAATTGTCTTCAAATTCTTGACTCGACACATACACCCGTTCTCCCATTTACGTGACCAATACGGATAAAATTCTTACAAGACGTTATTATTGCTGATGTTACTTAAATATTGTTACACCACCATATTCAAAGCTTTAATTAGTGTGTGGTTGTTCTTGTCAAATTTTAATAATGAAATTGGGTGTGGACTTTTCAATTAGATTATCTTATATTTGTTTTTTTTTTTTTGCTAAATTTATCTATACGGATTATTTTCGCATTAGTCTAATTACTCTAATTAGTGTTGTTTCCAAAAAAAAAAAAAAAAAAAATTCTAATTAGTGTAAACTAAGTAACTTATCAAAATGGTGTAAAGTGTTTATTTATTTAGGAGTTTCTTCCCACTTTAGAGGCCAGGAAAAAATTCCTATATACCATAAATTTGATTCTTATATGTGATTATGAAAATAAATAAGCATTTAATTTATTAGATTAGACGTGACAAAAGTTGACATATTATGACCCGAAAAAACTGAATTATTGTCTAGGGCTTATGATCTATTTAATTAAGTGGGTCAATATGATATGGAACGCTTAAAAAGTAGGTCAATGTTAAAGATTTTCAATATGTTTGATCAAACGGGTCAGCACGACACAACACATTTAATTAAACTTATGAGGTTAGTATTGAGGTTTCTTAACTCACTTATCGATCTTCGAACACAAACACGAGTTAAGTATGACACGATACATATGCCAGCTTTAGATATATGGAGCAATTGAAATGAGTAAATGATTTACATAAGAGGAAAGGAACTCAAAATGCGTTTTAAAGTAACTAAAATTTCAGTTTAATTTTGCTTATAAGACTCATAAGATAATTAAATTAAACTAATTGAGGAAAGCTAATTACTCCATAAAAAGAGGTGGAAAAAGTCATGGAGTATTGACGATTTGACGATGAGTGCCAAACTGCCAATTGCCAAACATATTTGGTCAATTTTTGTTGAGCCTTTTGGTTTTGATGGACAAATTGACAAACTCGACTAATGAATGTTTTGAGTCTTTGGTGAATAAAGGATTCAAGCAAAGTTCGTTCCGGAGTAGGAACTTGGATGCGGAGTAGCATTCTTTAAAAAGCCTCGTGCAAATCTCACGTTCTAGTTTTAATTGTGAGCACTCAATAATATAAAGTCGGAAAGGAACTCAATGACTTATGTTAAAGACTACTGGAATAAAAGTTAGTTTTAAAAGATAATTTCTTAAAGAAAAGATAATTTGTAAAAGTTTTAATAAAGATAATTATCGAAGATAATTATCTAGTTGTTTTAATAAATA